CATAACTATTTCACTGACTATATTTCACCTTCGACTCCAATTCAGAGTCGACGGCGTTAGGCAAATCCTTGGCTGCCTCAGCCACGGCCGTGATATCGGGATTAATGATGGAGCCATAGGGCACAAAGCCATTCACACCCGCTGTGTAGAAGACCTCAACGGTTTCGCCGAATTCATTCAGGTACCTGTAGGAGCCCTTGACCTCGAGTGCCTCGTCGTCGGTGCCGGCATTCACCAGGTGAGCCTCCTCTTCGCGCTTGGTGCCATCGCCAGACTCGTAGGAGGACCTATAGGAACCATCCTCGCTTTTGCTGACCTCTGAGTTCAGAATGGGCACGACTTCCTCTTTCTCGGAAACGGGCAAGGCCTGGGCGACGGCCAGCACAGCCAGGACGAACAAGGGTAGCTGCAAGAAATCCAGATCAGGGCGTTAGCTCAACTATCTGCAGAGTTTGCCTGGGGGTTCCAGCGCACTTACGAACTTGAACATTTTCAATATATTTATATATATGGTTTTTTTCTTTTTATATTCGAACTGGATCAACGAAAGCGAGAGTTTGAGTGAGACTAACCCGTGCGTTGGCTTTTATATGCGGCTGGCATTGCGATCAAATAATTCAACGCTTCTCTATGCGCTTAAACATGCCAAACATGTTTGCATCCCGGTTTATGGCAGCTGCGCTACGTCCAAAAACTTTAAACGATGCTCAAATTACTTCACGCTAAATGTCAGGGTCATTCCACAAAAAAGAAAACAGAAACAACACAAAAAATGTGTCAACCACTGAGGCGGTGCTGGCGATTAGCCACTCAGTTATTCCAGAGCCGCTGCAGCAGTAACTTCCGCGCTCTATTTGCTCCTCTATCTTTAAACTGCATCCATACGATGGCCGTAAAGAACCGACATATAATTTCTAGTTTTATATATTTGTACCTTAACTATTCTAACTCAAAAGTCAAACAATGAACTCAGAGATGATCGTCAAGTGTCGGCAGCATACTCAAATATTTAGTGAGCCAGCAGACCTACCCAAAATTGGACTGGAAATGCCCAGGGCACTTAGTAAACGTTGTGGCTGTGGCTGTTCGGGTTACTCCTCTGCTCAGGTGTCAGACTTTTTTGCATCTTACACGAATCGCATTCAGATGGAGATACTTACTAATATATTACAAGAGAGAATGACACAAAGCGCTGACATTTTACATGCTAAATGAAAACATTTGTGGGCTTGGTGGTGGATGCCAATGCTGAGAGGCAATTAATCGCAACACCTTGAGTGGGTGAAGCAGCCAGCCAACAACAATTGTGTCTCTAGCTTGTAAAAGGTAATGCCAGCTGAGAGCCTGCTAATGGATGCACTGATTGATGCCATCAATTCAGAAGATCTAGCCACAGATAACTGCTGGAATTACAGATATGAAATGAGTTTGAATTACGAATGAAGATACAGATACGGATGCAGATACAGATACAGATACAGATACAGATACAGATACAGATACAGATACAGATGCAGATACAGATACAGATACAGATACAGATACAGATACAGATACAGATACAGATACAGATACAGATACAGATACAGATACAGATACAGATACAGATAGAGATACAGATACAGATACAGATACAGATACAGATACAGATACAGATACAGATACAGATACAGATACAGATACAGATACAGATACAGATACAGATACAGATACAGATACAGATACAGATACAGATACAGATACAGATACAGATACAGATACAGATACAGATACAGATACAGATACAGATACAAATACAGATACAGATACAGATACAGATACAGATACAGATACAGATACAGATACAGATACAGATACAGATACAGATACAGATACAGATACAGATACAGATACAGATACAGATACAGATACAGATACAGATACAGATACAGATACAGATACAGATACAGATACAGATACAGATACAGATACAGATACAGATACAGATACAGATACAGATGCAGATACAGATACAGATACAGATACAGATACAGATACAGATACAGATACAGATACAGATACAGATACAGATACAGATACAGATACAGATACAGATACAGATACAGATACAGATACAGATACAGATGCAGATACAGATACAGATACAGATACAGATACAGATACAGATGCAGATACAGATAGAGATAGAGATAGAGATAGAGATAGAGATACAGATACAGATACAGATACAGATACAGATACAGATACAGATACAGATGCAGATGCAGATGCAGATGCAGATACAGATAGAGATAGAGATACAGATACAGATAGAGATACAGATACAGATACAGATACAGATACAGATACAGATACAGATACAGATACAGATACAGATGCAGATACAGATACAGATACAGATACAGATACAGATACAGATACAGATACAGATAGAGATAGAGATACAGATACAGATACAGATACAGATACAGATACAGATACAGATACAGATACAGATACAGATACAGATACAGATACAGATACAGATACAGATACAGATACAGATACAGATACAGATACAGATACAGATACAGATACAGATACAGATACAGATACAGATACAGATACAGATACAGATACAGATACAGATACAGATACAGATACAGATACAGATACAGATACAGATACAGATACAGATACAGATACAGATACAGATACAGATACAGATACAGATACAGATACAGATACAGATACAGATACAGATACAGATACAGATACAGATACAGATACAGATACAGATACAGATACAGATACAGATACAGATACAGATACAGATACAGATACAGATACAGATACAGATACAGATACAGATACAGATACAGATACAGATACAGATACAGATACAGATACAGATACAGATACAGATACAGATACAGATACAGATACAGATACAGATACAGATACAGATACAGATACAGATACAGATACAGATACAGATACAGATACAGATACAGATACAGATACAGATACAGATACAGAAGATACAGATACAGATACAGATACAGATACAGATACAGATACAGATACAGATACAGATACAGATACAGATACAGATACAGATACAGATACAGATACAGATACAGATACAGATACAGATACAGATACAGATACAGATACAGATACAGATACAGATACAGATACAGATACAGATACAGATACAGATACAGATACAGATACAGATACAGATACAGATACAGATACAGATACAGATACAGATACAGATACAGATACAGATACAGATACAGATACAGATACAGATACAGATACAGATACAGATACAGATACAGATACAGATACAGATACAGATACAGATACAGATACAGATACAGATACAGATACAGATACAGATACAGATACAGATACAGATACAGATACAGATACAGACACAGATACAGATACAGATACAGATACAGATACAGATACAGATACAGATACAGATACAGATACAGATACAGATACAGATACAGATACAGATACAGATACAGATACAGATACAGATACAGATACAGATACAGATACAGATACAGATACAGATACAGATACAGATACAGATACAGATACAGATACAGATACAGATACAGATACAGACTTCCTCCTCATAGTTCGCCTTTTTGCATCTCATCAATCAGTCTTCGCTCAATTTCTTCTTCTTCTATCTTGTTTCCCATGAATCGCAGAAACTGTTAAATATCTCATCAGCAATTAAAACTTGTTTGATAAATGCTTCAAATTAAAATTCTAATTAGCTGCATAAACTGTGTTTATCGCTCTCCTCGATAATGAAAATTTCAATTGAATTCGCAATAAATATCGAGAGCCATAAACTCAGAACTAGAAGATTTGTTGAATGGCCAGCAGAGAGAAGAATAAACATTATTATTAATTTAGCTACATTTTTTATCGGCGTCGGCGTCGACGTCGGCTCTGACGACATTTGGCAAAAGGGCACAACCCGGACTGGAGAGCCGTGGGGCCCAGTGGGCCCCAGCTCGAGATCGAGCTCCAAAAACAAGAGCCAACTGAAATTACCATGTTGCAAATTGTGGTGCCAATAAAAATTGCCACAATTTATATTTGTGACAGGCGCAGCGAGGCGATGCACGTACCCAAATTAAATATGTGCACGATGAGCAGCTTTACGACCAGTGTTGGTAGCCGTCAGAGCCGAAGCAGCAACTGCAGCAGCAGCAGCAGCTGGTGTTGTAAGTATTTGAGCTGTCCATTGGGCCATTTGCTCTCGCTTTGGCGCTCCCCATTTCGGCATAGTTGCCCGCTGAGCTGGCCAAGTGTCTGAGCTGGGGATTTCTGAATTGAATTTATTGACTAGCCAGGCTACGTTTGGTTTATGAATCGTTTATTTTCAATAATTGTTTGAATAACATTTACCAAAGTGCGACAATCAAGGCAGTTTAGCCGGCGCATAACAGCTCAACTGCTGCAGCTGCCAAGCTGAATGTCTTCAATTGATATACTCTTAATATTCTTGGCTTGATATTTATTTTATTTGTATCCTATTTCCATTCATTTTATGCTTATTTTGTAAAATTGCTTGAATATCATTTGAAATTATGCTTTAAGAATAGTTTATACATATGTAACTTCATATTTTTAAATAATTTAATTAACAACATTTGAAAGAGTGACTTGAGCTGACTAGTTAAGCAGCGTATAACAGTATATAACAGTTTATATAATGTGCTCAGTGATCTTTTCTCTTTTCTCTTGATGTACTTTTGAGCTTTAATAAGTGAACATAACTGAAAAGAGTTTGATTTAATAGTCAAGGGAATACCTCTAATAAATTCTTTGCTTACTTACAATTCAATATTTCTTACATTTTGCATTCCCAAGTTTTTTTTATACTTACCTTTTGCTGATTCGTAAAAATTAAACAGAGGCATAACAAAAAAAAAAAAAAAAAAAAAAAAACAAAAAAAAAACCATTCTGTTTACTTTCATAAAAATAAACTTTGTTCTTAAACATACATTTGGTACATTTTCTTGTAATACATTTCACATATCTCGTTTGTATAACACTTTTATAACAATTCAAATACTTTCGGCCCCACTTTAACTCCTTTTGCCCGCTCTCACCTCCAGTGATTGCACCGCATTCCTCGCCGCGTCGCTTATTTCCTTGGGTATATTCGTGCCCACGGGCACAAAGCCATTTTTATCAGCCACATAGCTGACCTCCACCTGCTTGCCATCACTGTCAATGTAACTATAAACACCAGATACTTCTAGTTCCGTATCGTCATCATCATCATTGTCATTATTATTATCATCAGCAACAGCCGCAGCAGCAACAGCTGAGTGCACATCTTCATCGTCTGCTGATCTCATGTGATTCTTGGAGCGTCTTACGATGCCCACCTCCTCGCGATAGCTGCCATCGGCGCCTTCATAGGCAAAGAAATAGGAGCCATCATTTTTTTGCTCGGCTAACGACTTGATAATCGGCACCAGCTCCAACTGCTGCTCAGCCTCAATGCCCCAGCCGCCTGTGCAGCAGAGAGCCAAGAGCAAGCACTACAAAGAGAGTGAGAGAGAGAGAGAGAGAAGTTGATGAAAGATAATTTCTGCTGCTGCTGCTGTGGTCGTTGCTTACCAATCGAAACATGTTTTATGGCAGTTCTTGTGAATTTATGCTAATCGCAAACAGTTCTTGGCGCTTTTATACCATTTCACTGATTGTGCTGGGTCAATAGAAAGTTGCGAGACGAGTCGCAAGGCGCAGATAAAGTCGTTGAACTGCATTTGCAATTTAAAGTAGCCGAAACCGAGTTATGTAACCTGCCTTAATTTGGCCATTGTCTGCGTGTTAAATGCGACACATCAGCTCGTTGCTGCCGTCGGTCTGTGGGCGCCTATCTGAATATCTAACAGCTTGTAGCATGAGCATGTGAGGTGCAGCAGCAGCTAATAAAATTTGTCAAATTGCTTGTACAAACATGTCGCCAAGTAGGCGTGGGCCATGCCCCAGCGACCAACGTACGTACAAAGCCAAGCCAGAAAAGAACAACAACAAAAAGCGAAAGGTGCTGCATATGCAACGGCTGACTGGCTAAGAAAATGGCTAAGCTCTTTTCCACTTGACTACCATGCAAATTCTTTGCCACAGTTTCAATTTGGAGTTTCTGAATTTTTGAGTTTTGTATCTTTCGAACTACGCTGTTACAGTGGGTGGGCACTGAGAAGCGACTAACATTTATGCCAAAATACTCAAAAAGAAGCAAAGCAAAAACAATTTTTAATAATTTTTGGCAAATTTCGCAACCAGACATTGGCAACTGTTTTTTTTATTTGTCTGCCAAAAGACTTACTAAATGCCCTGTAAAATGGGAATTACAGTAGTGTTGTTAATCGAATTAGTAGTATTGTAGTGTAAGTAGTAATTAGTAGTAATGGAAAGTAGCAATAGTGGAAATATTACTCCAATTGGAAGCTTTCTACATATATTAGAGGAGTCAAAGAGTTCTCCAAGTTTAATAAAATGTAATAAATGTAATAAATATGAATATTATTTTATATATTTAAAAGTTATCGTATATTAATTTTAGTAGTTTTGTTTATTATATATAAAAATTAATAAAATACTTAAATGCATTCTAAGTTGTTTCGATTCTAATCTAAAACTTGCATTTGTATCAATTTACAGGGTATCTTGCTGTTGGATACTCAGCAACTCTCTCGCTCTGATTCGGTGTTGGCATTTGCCTTGGCGTCTTCTGGGCGTCAAACACAACACGCCCAGTACCAAAAGACAGGCTCCAGCTCTGGCTCTGGCTCTAACTCTGGCTCTGGCTCTAGCTTAGTTTCTAGCTCTGTCTCTATCTCTGTCTCAGTCTCAGCCTCTAGCTCCGGCTTCGAGACTCATTAATAAATTGATTCTGAGACGATTCGAAACTAGTCTGGCTGCTGAAATGGAAACACTTTAATGAGTTTTGAGTGGTTGCAATGCCAACGAGTGCATAACTTAGATGCGACACATTAACCTTTACACAGCAATTGCGAATGCAAAACGAAGAACCGGAACAGCAGCAGGAATCTACGCATACGCAGAGAGAGAGAGAGAGAGAGAGAGAGGGGGACAGAGGCTGACACGAATAGAGAGCAATTGATCGTATCACATTGCAGATTCAATCAATTAGCAGTAATTAACCTGGCCGAATGCTATACCAGTTGCCAAATGCCAAGTGCCTCAGTCTCGGCAGATCATTCAATAATATCGCCGAAGCGTGGAGGCGACTGCCCGACTCGCCAACACGAATCAAAGTTGTTTCCCAAGCGAACAACTTTTATTTATCTATGTCTTTATATTTTCTTTTACCTCTCTGCTTCTTCTTCGTGTTTTGAGCGCCTGCTCAACTATTGTTCAAATTAGCATACAAACTATTTCGCACTCATTTGCAAAACTATTTATGCCTACAAAAATTAGCAACCGAAATGTTTGAATAAAGAAATTGTATTTAAATTGATAACAAATTTGGGGTTAAATATTTTATTTTGAATCGTTCGAACATTTGACAATGTAAACAATAATATAGTAATGGGAGCTTTTCTCAGGGCTGAAAACTTTTGACAGAGAAGAGATATTTGTAGAGCAATTTCAGATATTATAAAATTAAAAAAAAAATAAATAAATAAATAAATAAATAAAAAAACTAAGTGAACACATTTCTAAATGAATATATCATAATGTTATGCATAAAAAGATTTCTATTTGAAAAATCACAAGCAAAAATAAAATATATTTTCAATATAAATATAAATCATTATACGAATCATATATATGAATATGTATATATAAATATAAATAGATAGAATATTGTTTCAGCTGTATTATACAAGATTCTTGTATTCCTAACGATGTTAAGTTATAGCTAAACATTCTATATGTAGATGCAGGGTACTCAAATGGGTTCATGGCTTAATGCCTAAAAAGCTTTATTATTCAATTTCCATACAACATACTTTTAGGCGCCGTTCAAAAAGCTACCGAAAAAGCTCATGGATCATAAAAAAGATTAAAAATAAACAATTTCCGAACACTTAAAAAAAGAAAAATATGCTATAATATATATAGTTCAACATTGTCTAATACCCAACCGCACCCTCATGAGACATCGCTTAAAAATCTCGTGTAGTTTTCCAGGTAATATCTATTCGCCACAGTAGCTTTGACCTTGCCAAAAGCATATCGAACAAAGAAACAAAAAAACAACAACCTCATAAAAATTAACATATTCAATTAGTTAGCGAGCAGAACATGAAGCGAGATATGTTAAAAAAAAATGAGATGAAAAAAAAAATTGTAATAATTGCAGGCGAGAACGCATTAAAAATGTAAAAATTGCATTACTGTCGAGCACTTAGTTATAAATGACTTTTCAGAACAGATCAAAACTGAGTGGATCGGGGCAACACCTTAACATGAACAGCATGACGAATGAGCAATGATAAATGGTAAATGATGAATGATGAATGATGAATGTGAATGAGCAGACAATGGAAGACGCTCAAGAGTAGCGAAGCAGACAGAATTCACAGACTTATCTATGGAAGAGACTTCTGGCCAGATAACTAACTTAATTAACATATCATCTTCAACTTTACCTTGACCATAGGGCAGATAATTGCGTATACGCCGTGTTTGCGACAGATTTCTGAAAGTTGTGCTTACATCTAGAGCAGCAGAAATGAAGGTAATTAAACAGCATAAAGACAAGAGACAGAGCCAGCTAAGAGATTGTTTTGTGGATGTGTATATTGAGTATACGCCATGGATGCCCCAGTGAGGTCTAGCTGAAATAAAATAGCTCCTGACTATACAAAATCCTCAGCTCAGCTGAACATGACATACAGAGCACATAAAACTAACTTTTGTCTATAGAAATAAGCAATTATCAACTTTCAGCAACTGCTTCATCGCTAACCTTGACCATTGGGAAAAGTTGCGTATACGCCATGGCAGCCCCAGAAACCCAAAAGCCCAGCTGCAGCTGCGATCGGGAGCAGTGCAAAAACAACACGAACACAGCACACATCAGCACATAACTCACACAGACACCTTAAGAACAAAACAATCGATGTACGAGGGGTAAAAAAAGTGAATAGAAATTTGCATACGGCAATCTATGTAGCTGGCGGGGCATGCATCTTCTAGATGCAACATCATAAATATAGCTGCACATAGCAGCTGGAAATTCGTTTGTCCTTCTGTCAATGGCCAATAAAAAACCAATAAAGCTGCCAACCAGCAAGCCGTCAGTCGCTGCTGTTAACACGATTCGCATGTAGATAAATTACAGTCCGGCAGCAAATCAAATGTGACAATGCTCGACTCTACGCTACCCTGTATGCAGTTGCTGGAGATATATTGATATTGATTAATTAAACAGAATAGTCGATAATTATCGATGCTAAGTAATAGTAGACTTTGATTTAGAAAAATCGATATTTATCGATTTTCGAGGGAAAACTCACTCATCATTTGAGTATTTGTTTATTATGAATTATTGATATTAGAAAGAAGAATAATATTTAGTTATCGATACTTATCGATTTCACAAGCAACTATTCTTGTAATCAACTTAATTGAGTAGTAATACTTACTGTAATATAAATTACACTCCGACTATCCAGATAGTATACCCTCTGCCTACTCATTCATAATGCATGCAGGGTATAACAAGATCAAAATCAAGATCAAACCAGCAGTTGGTCAGATATGGCAGCTGCCCATATGCTGGCTGCAGCTAGCGAGCGAGTGGACTGGACAGGAAGACGTTGCCGTTGGGCGGCCGGCGATTCTTATGATCGAGCTGCGCTTTAGGGCCTGCCTTGGTTGAGCTTGGCTGGCTGCCAAGCTAGGCGAAGTATAAATAGATCTGGCCCCAGTTGCAGCATTTGCAGTCTAGTTCAAGTGGCAGCAGCAGCAGCATCGATACTCCGATACTCCGTTACCCGTTTCTACATCCCACCCACACACTCAGCGCGTGAGTGTAACGTCAAACTTATCGAGCGTGTAATTTGTTAAGCGATTTTCCCGTTGAGATTTATGACTACGTCGACAGCTTAAATGCGGGTAAAGCTAAGCTCAGCTTCCTCTCTCTCAATCTCTCTCTCTCTCTCTCTATTTTGTATTCTTACTCTCCCTTAAACTGAGCTGTGAATCTATTCTTGTTTCTTCGAATTTCTCAGTGTTTAGTGTTTTGTGTGCTCATAGCCGTTGGCCACGCCCAGCTGCCCAATGCGCCGTTTCAGCAGACGCCCTTCCAGCAGCGCCAGCTACAGCAGCAACAGCAGCCGCAGCAGCCACAGCCACCGCCGCCGCCCTTTCAACGCCAACGGCAACAGCCACCTGGGCAGGGTCTGTTTCCAGTGCAGGCCAATCCGCTGAATCCTCTGAGTCCGCTCAATCCGCTGACACCCAATCCGTACAGTCGCTACAATCAGTATACGCAGCAGAACTATGTGCCGATCACCGCCTATCAGAACGATCTGAATCTGGATGGCAGCTTCTCCTATGGCTATGCAGCTGCCGATGGCACCACGGCTCAGGCGCAGGGCTATGTCAAGAATCTGGGCTATGGCGAAGGTGTGGAAGCGCAGGTGAGAATTGAATCCAAATAAAGAT